CGCGCAGGTGCCCCGCGGAGCCAGGGTGCGCTGCGCTCTGGGCGGCTACAGGCGAGTGTTTTAAGTTCTCTGAACCTCTTAAGAAAATAGTAATAACACTGACATCTAAGCCGCAGCTGTCAGCTATGACTATATATTCACTCATTCATTCATTCATTCACAGCAAATGCACCTGGAGGTCCCCGCTGTCTTCCTAGCACTGTGGTGGCGCCAGGGATACCTCGGCGATCCAGGTGGACAGGTGTCTGCCCTCTCGGACTGCGCACCCAGATGGGATTTACCGGGGAGCAGAAATGCGACCGCGCAGGCTCCCAGCCCCTGCCCGGTCCTGGGGAGTGCTGGTGCTCACTACCACCAGGCGCTGTGTCTGCATCCGCTCCTTCACCTCCTGCAGGTGGTTCACAGCCTTCCCTATAGTCACAGCTCGATGAGAGCTTGACGAGTAAATGAAGTGATTGCCTGAACCATCCCCTGGATTCCTGGAGGAGAGTGGAAGGATGGGAAAGGGCAAAACCCTCCCACTCGTGAGGCAAATGCTCCTGGGGCTGGCATGGAACCTTCAGGGTGCCCTTCCTTCTGGGGAGGGCCTTGCATCTTTTAGGACTGACCCCCTTCCCCAAGGAAAAAGGAGCCTCTTCCACGGAAAGAGGGGTGGGCCTGCTCAGGGAACTCCCTCCAGCCCAGAGCCTTCTCATTAAAAGCTTCCAGAGGCGTGTTGGCTGTTAGCTATCCCCTAGATTATTCCTTTTGTAGGTATATTTAGGGCTTCCTAGTGGTTTCAGAGGCTTTCTCTCAGAGTTCCCCCTAAAAGAAATTGATCAGAGATGCTAACTTATGTCACTGAAGGGAGTCCCATCTTTGTAAAAACAGATCGTGGACAAATGCGAACACTCTTCTCAATTTTTTTAGGTGCTTTAAGCTTTTAACTCCGTCTAAACAGGGCAGTCTGTTGCCTTTTTCTGCCTTGGCCCACTGAGACCGATTTTTGTTTTACATGAGTTTCAGGAAGATACAGTAGTAGTCTTCCATTTTTATGAGAATCACCACAAATCTAGCAGCTTAACACTCATTTATTATCTCACAGTTTCCATGGATTGGGCACCTGAGCACTAATTCTCTTCTCAGGGTCTCACACAGCTGAACTAAAGGTGCTAGAGGCTCCATTAGGGAAACACCTACTTCCCAGCTCCCTCCGGTTGTTGGCAGAATTCTTGTCTTTGGGGCTGTGGGACTGGGATCTCTGTTGTCTCGCTAACTATTAACCAAGGACCATGGTCAGCTCCTAGAGGCCACTCTCCAGTCCTGGCCCCACAGTTTCCTTCGCAGACCCCCTCATATAGCCATTCTCTTTTCTAAAACTCACCTGATCAGATCAGATCCACCTAGATAATCTCCTTTTTGATTAATTTGAAGTCCATTAATTAGGAACCTAATCATGGGAGTGACCTCCCATCACATTCACTGGGGAGGGGATTATACCAGTGTCTTGGTTCAGGCTGCTGTAATAAATAGCACAGATTAGGCGGCTTACACAAAACATTTCTGTCCCACAGTTCTGGAGGCTGGGAAGTCCATGACCAAGGTGCCGGCTGATTCAGTTCCTAGTGAGACCTCTCTTCTTGGTTTGCCTGCTGACGGCTGCTTTTCTGCTGTGTCCTCACATGGCAGAGAGAGAGAGAGAGTCATCTCTCTCCCGTCTGTTTTTATAAGGGGCACCAATCCCAGCATGAAGGGCTCTACGCTCATGACCTAATTCCCCCCAAAAGCCCCACCTCCTAATGCCCCCACATTGGGGATTAGGGCTTCAACATGTGGACTTGGGGAGGACACAAGCATTCAGTCCACAGCGAGAGAACAAGCATACCATGGGGGTGGGAATCTTAGCCATGTAACAATTCTACCAACCGTAGAAGGAAAAGAGAAAAATAAACCAGGAAAATATAAAGCTATAGGGATATGCTAATTTACAGATATCAGACTCCTACCTAAAATAACGAACGTCTAAAGGCCTCGGGTACCTATAGGAGCTGAAGGACCCCTCCCCCTCCCTGGCCTCGGGCCCTCAGACCTCTCCAACCTCCCAGTTCCCCTCCTCTGGCCCTCTGCATGGGTAGGGATGGGAGCCAATGCTGAAGCTCAGAGGACTCAGGGAATTTACTGAGGGCCACTGGGAAGAAAGGCATTGACCCCCCCC